ACCTTGGGAACAGAAAAAAACTTTCACTCTCTTGGTCCTAATGCCAAAGTCTCCCATGTCTGTTACAAGAAGGCAGCTCTGGTTTGACTGCATTTTGCAATATAAGGGGTTCAGTTATTCTTGCCATGCATGGCTTTTTGGCCTCTATAACTCTTTCTCACTGCAAATTGGGAAATAAGATAAATGGGCTCATTTACTCCCTAATTTTCTTCAGATGGTAGTCATCCAGCTCACAGTCATTCCAAAAAAAGTAAAAAACAAACCACTCAAAGTGGTTTCCAAATTTTGAGACATTTCACTTCCCATCCAGAGAGCTTTATCAATTCAAAATGTCTGGAGTAATTTGGGCTCAAGGCTTTTAGAGTAGCCCAACAAAAGCCTGATTATGGCTCAGAAAACATGCAAATAGAACTAAAATCAGGTCCACCCTTTTTAATATCGAGACGTTCAAGGCGTTGTTGTCCTACCCTAACTGGTGCGCTTGTTTTGACCACCTGCATGAAGGTGCGCATTGAGGTGATTGTGGGAATGGATCAACTCTAACGCTGCATTATAGGTTTTTGAGAGCTGAAAGTGAGAGTCCACCCCTTCTGTTTAAGATTGTTTTTTCTCTCAGTGTAGATGCTTCCTTCAAACCCCTTTCAATCCACCTGACTTAGTCAGAAATGAGAAGATTCTAGTCCTCAAATGAGTGTCCTTAAATGTAAGCTTTACTTTTTTTGGTATCGAATCACCATCTTTGCCATGTCCTCTGTTAAATATTTGCCCTATTTTCCTTTATTTCATTTATTTTATATTGCAAGATCAAAATGCAGCTTGAGTTCTCTGGGCTTTGTTGGACCCTGTTTGCATGCTTTTATTCTTAAAGCCCTCACATCTACTTCCTGCTTATCAGTCGTTGTCAACAAACTTCACATAATTGCTTCATAGTGTGGACGTGCAGCACTGTGGGCCTTCATGTTCTTATTATAATAAGCCTGTGGAGTAAAAAGCTGTTTACTACTTTCCAGCTGAAGTGTTTGACTTCATTAAATTATATCTGATCTGTGTATAAAAGTTTGGTTTGGAATAACATCTCCACTGCTTATTCTAAGTTAAGAATCAGATTAAATTAGTTATTTCTACAGGTTGTTAAGCTTTAAAGTATGCTCTAGTTTTAATTCTTTTTCTTTAGAGAAGGGAGTCAGAAGGCACAGACAACACTGTGGGAGCGCAGCACATGGATTCTGCTTGTTGTTTATTTCAGGGGGCTCTTACTCTTACACTCTGGCCTTTGGATAGTCGATTTATAGTTCCTTGGATTGGAGCTTAGCAACTGTGCAACACAGCCATGCAGATCGGGTTTCTCAAAAGCCCCCTTCCACCGAAGCATTCGGCTTGACGAACACTGCCTGCTGGGCAGCTTGGTCTCCATCAGCCTAGCAGAATCCCCCCTGGTGTTTACACATGAAACTTTCAAGGCATTATATACTGATTAAAATCATAACCAGTCTGTGAATAAAATGTTTCAGGTTGTAAGACTAAACATATAAGAAAAATTACTTTTAGTTTATAACTGGAGTTCGGGAAGCAGTTGATTAACTTAATACTAGAGGATGTGACTAAGATTTTTTAAAATGGATTTAAACCAGGTGAAACTAAAATGTTTCCACTTGAATTCTGGATAGAGCACATTGACAGACAAAAAAGATTTTATCTTAAAATGCAAAAGTTTTTACAATTTTCTCATAATTGCTTTTATTTTGCCTTGGGATTATTAAAGTATTTCTGATTCTGATTCCTGGTTGATGGGACAGGTGTTGTGAATCAAATGGTGCCCAGCTTGAAAGAGCTCCTGTGTGTCATTGAATGTGTGCATTGATGACTGAAAGAAATCTTCTGCCTCCATTTATCTGTTTAAAGTGTGTAGAATTCATGTTGATGTGTATTTAAAGACATTTCAACTTTTGGAAAAAATTGCAGGGGGAATATTAAAAAAAAAGCCTAATCAACCGAAACTTTCGCGACCCCCATGTAGTACCTCCGTGGACCCCCTAGGGGTTGCGGACCCATTGTTGAAGACCTCCACTTTAGGGTATTGCTCAATGCTCAAATTATCTGTAAATGATTTCTTGACTATAATACCTTCTTGATATCAGAAATGGACCGATACATCGGTTGGTTCATATTTGTTTTTACCCATATTGTTTTTTTTTGTTTGTATTTTTTTTTTTTTAAATGTATCGTTATTGGCCGATATCTGCATGCAGCAGCCATGTCTTGATCATGTAAAGAACATGCATTACTGCACCCAATTAGCAATCTATTGTTAATGTTTCTTTTTCATTTGTTACTTTTCTGTTTAAAACCGAGACTTCAGTAACATTTGTTATCAGTGTTGGTTTTATCATGTATATGAAGGAAGAAAAGTAAGAATTGGCCCAAAAATATTGGGAGTGTACATCAGGAATCTGTTAAAATTATTTCAAAATAATTGCTATCTAGCCTTAAAAACCTGTATTGGTTGATCCCTAGTAACTAGATCCTACTCTAATAGATTTGAGTGCATGTATTGGAAGAGAGATCCTCATCAGTTTGTGATTTATTTATTTTTTTCCCCTGAATGTTCGCAAATATTTTGCAAGGGGTGCCTTATAGTCAGTGAGTATTTTCTAACAAGGCAGGGTTTTTCACTTGTCATTCATTCTATTTATGTAAACAGATATATTTTAGGGAAAGACAGGAAGTGACTGTACTGAAAAAAAGTTTTAATGCAGATTATCTTTTTTCTTTTTTTTCTTTTCTCCAAAGCAGACCAAGCTTTTGTGACGTTGGCAACAAATGACAATTATGCCAAGGGAGCAATGGTTCTGGGCCAGTCCCTAAGGAACCACAACACAACCCGCAAACTGGTGGTACTCATAGGACCTCACGTTGCAGAGCCTTGCAGGTAAACAGGCAGTGCTTTGAACTGCTTGTTAAAGTCCAGCATGCATGTTAACAGGAATCCCTTTGCTTGTGCTTTAGGGATGCACTGCACTCCGTTTTTGATGAGGTGATCATGGTGAACGTGATGGATTCAGGAGATGCAGCTAATCTGGCTCTGATGAAGCGGCCAGACTTGGGCGTAACAATCACCAAACTGCACTGCTGGACCCTTGAGCAGTACAGCAAGTGTGTGTTCATGGATGCTGACACACTGGTAAGATGGACAATCTGCACAAAGTATGTCATTCTTTAAGACTTAACTTTTAATGCATCCTATGAAGTAAGTTGCTTTTTTTGTATTGCCTGTATGCAGGTTCTGTCAAACATAGATGAACTCTTTGATAGGGAAGAATTGTCTGCAGCTCCAGATCCTGGTTGGCCAGATTGCTTCAACTCAGGAGTTTTTGTCTTCAGGCCGTCCAATGAGACGCACAAAGACCTGCTCGCGTACTGTGCTGAAAAAGGCAGCTTTGATGGTGAGTGCCAGGAGAAAATGGTTATTGGGAACCATTTCTCCTTTTTATATATTGAAAAAAAATAAAAAATTCTTTACTAAAGCTATCCCAAACTTCAAAGAAGTGACACCAAGTGAGTGTTTAATAAAATTTGAAGTTGCTGTTGGTTGCATAGATTATCAAATTTGCAGATCTAACCTCTTGATGTTTTTCCAAGTTTAGAAATTGGTATTCTCACATCTACAGATTTGAGTATCATCGCTTAGGCATGAGATTTTTCTTTACATCAGGGTCTCTTATTTAATTAAAATAAATTGATCTTCATGTCTATAGTTGAAGTCTGTGAAGATGAATTTGAATTGATTTCTAAAGCTGATAAAATTAATGTTGCTTACAATGAACTTTAGGAGGTATAAGATAAGGACAGCAACTTTTACATACATGTGAACATGTATAAAATATCTATCCAAGTGATTGGAGAAATCATAGGATCATCCAAGAGACAAAGCGGGATACTTAACAGGTTTTAAATCTACCCTGATCTTTAAAAGTACTATGCAGTGATCCCATCCTCCTCTAAGCAGAAACTTAAGCCAAGGTCAATTGGTGAGAACTCCAGACTCACAATTATTGAAATCTAGATGTAAATTTATCTTCATAATAGCTGCCACTGTAAACAACTTTCAGAGCTTTTTTTTTTTTTTCAACCTCCTTGTACTACTTTTGTAGGTAAGTTCTGCACTGGCTGCATAACTCATTGTGGTAGCGAATGACTTTCTTCTTCTTAGAAGTTAAAAACTAAGCTAGCTTTGAGAATGTTGGGTGTCTGCCATACCATCATAAATCTGTCAGTTTTATTTCTCGCATGATTAACCCTGAGAAGATGAACTGGAGGAGCAAAGGTACTGATGTTTGTTCTGATGGGAGCTGACTTGAAAACCTACTTGTTCATTTAGCTCTGATACTGAACCTAAACGCTCACTGCAGCCAATTAACGCAGATCTCATAAATTTCTTTCTGAGACAAAGAAAGGATTTCCAATACTGAATCAAATGCATTGTTTCAACATTCATACTATATGACAGAAGTAGAGTATGAATGAGTATGAAGTTTGTGGCTTTAGACCTAAGACTTCCATCATATCATCAAAGTGGTAGTTTGCCCAAAATGGCTTCAAGCAAATTGAAAGTTTGAAACAATTATTGCATCAGAACTCAAAGGTGAAATGGTGCTTGCACATAGATGTTAACAAATTGCCTGATGGGGGTATTACTTCAGTGAGGACAATTACCTGGAGCTGCTTGATGCAAAACTCTTAACTTTAAGAGGAGACCATATATTAAATGCTTTTACTGTGTTTACATATTATTTTTGTGTAAATATGAGGGGAACTTGCTTTCCTGAGGCAAAAATATATCTTTTATGTAACTCTTTGTAAAAAGTCATTATTGGCGTCTGCAGAAATGCCCTAGATATAAAAATATTGTGTGGTACTGTTTACAATTTTAGGAAACAAGCCCCCTGCCTGAACCCAGCTGTAGGCACCTGGTGCTGTGTACAGTGTTTTTTTCACTAATGGTATATTGGGTATGTGGATGTGTTGTCTGCGCTTCTTTCAGCATCTATTTTTATATGACAACCAGTGTATGAGAATGTACAGAATGTATTTTTGTTATGTTAATCATTCATGTACAACATGTTCTGTGCTCTGACTCTACAGCTGAGTGAAAAGCGGGTTGACCTCCCAAGTCCTCTGATTTTTGTTCCACAAAATGCCTTGACCAAATTATGCTGTTGTGGTTAAGGGTTTGCCTGTGTGTGCAGGTGGAGACCAGGGGATTCTCAACAGTTACTTTAACACCTGGGCGACGGCGGATATTTCCAAACACCTCCCTTTTATCTACAACCTCAGCAGCATTGCCATCTACTCCTACCTTCCAGCTTTCAAACAGTGAGTTCTTGCTCAGACGTTTCTTTATTATATACATTGGAATATCATGCCAACCCTTTTTATTGCCAACCTTAAAGTTGTTAAAATTTTATTAAACAATACTGGAGTTTGGTTGGTGTATATTTATAAAGTGGTAGGAAAAATGTATGTATATTTTCTTCTTTTGGAACTCATTCTTTTCAGTATGGTGTGCACCACAATACTTGGTGGCCCAGGATAATATCCACTACAGCCGTTTCAGCTTATTTGCAAACTGAGTCCATTTGTGTGTGTAGTTGAGATGGATCCAACATCTTAAAAAGCAAGGTTTTATCAATTATCTGAAAAATATTGTTGCTCCAAACCTACCAAGACGTGACCATCCATCTAAACCAGTGATGTCCAAGCTTTTTGCATGTGGGAAATCTTAAGTTGTAGGTGCTTATGGGCCAAAATTGGAATGGATTCTTAAACTTAAAAGAAGTGTAAATTAGGGCCGGACGATAATTTATTGATATATTTTGATCGATAGACATGTGGCGCAATAGGAAAAAAAGAGGGTAGATAAAAGACCCCTTTTTCCACCTGGATTCCAACTCTTTTTCACCCTCATATCCCTCCGTTGTTGCACAAATTTGCCCCCACTTGCTCACCACGTCGGTCGTATCAAGCCTAACAGCTAGTTCGTGATTGTCCCTCTTGTGTTGTGGAGTGGAATACCATGGCGCAGACCATGCTTCAATATTGGCCATAAATCAAAAATATCTGCAACAAACTCACTGCGACACACTACTGCGGGGAGTATAACCAGCCCTTTACACACCATGCTAGCACGGATCCACGCCCCCTAGTGAAGATCTACGATACTACTGCTCTGTAGAGGTAAACAAGCAAACTAACATGGCGTCGCCCCTAACATTCACAAAGTTATTTTTTGTTGTGATATTTCGTTGTTTGAGGAGAGTAAGGTGAGGAAGGCAGCCTTTGGTGAATTTACTTGACAGTCAGCTTTTGGGAAGTTGATACACATTGATGTCTGGCACGGTCTGATTTATGGCTCCAAAATTATGCCTAAAAATCTTCAGGTTGAAAAAAATATTTGGCAAAATGTTCTCTAGTCATTTATATTCATGTCAAAATGCTATAGACTAACACCTATTTAAAATGTTAGCAAAATTGATGCTGGTTGAATCACATTTCATTTAGATTTTTCAGGAAATATGTATAATGGCAAAGATGACATTTAATCCATCCATCCTCAAATTGTTGCACCTATTCCTTCAGCTTTGGTCAATTGGTCAACAGTAAGAAAACTATCCACTAAGCTAAATTCTGACTGCAAGGTCTGCTTATATGTGAGGCAACACAGATTAGGTGAACCTCCCGTTAGTGACATTAAGCGTCTTTTGGATGACGCTAAGTAACTGTGGCTTGATAAGTTGAGCTCAAGCTGTCAGAATTGGACGTCCATGTCTGATATTTATGAGAGTTTAAGAAATGCCTCTCTGGTCTTTAGTAATTGGTGCATTTTGCTCCTTCATCTCTGATGGAGGGGGGGCTCTCTGTCATGCCATAGCACCATCGACCCAGTTGGAACTGCAGAGTTGACCATAATGGCTTCTATTTAAGATGCAGAGGAAAAACACAAGGATGACTTTGTGAACCCTGAGTTGGATGTTTCTGTATTTGTACATCTGAATGAGATGAGTTGGTCCTCACCATGTTGAACACAAATGCATTCAGGTGATGGATTTGGGACGCTTCCAGAAGCTGCAGAATGGGGGGGGGGTCTTTAGGATCTTTTCTCTAAAATCGCAATAAAATTTTTTGAAGTATGTGGGTGTAATGGAGGAAAAAAGGGGTACAAATCCTTTAACGCGACACTAATTCTTTTGCCCAATAGAAGCAGTCTATATAGATTTGCCTACAAAATGAAGCAGATATTTACACATGCAGCTTTATCCAATGCACCTTGCTTCCTGTTTTTATTTTTTGTTTTAATCATTCCCTCTCGTGACACCCTTTTCTGTGGAACTGCACTGAACTGTTTGTTTGCTTTAGGCTCATCCAAGGTCAGTTCGGCAATCCTGCATAGTTGTGGTTTGGTGTTTAATTACAAGAGGGTATGCAGAACTTTGTCCAAAGACTTGGCTTTCTGCAGCTTTCTTATTGAAATCTGCATTTGATGTTAAGACTGTCTAAATTGGGTGATATCATGAAAAGTGTTTTTTTTATAGTAATTACAAAGCACATTTTAAATTAGTTTTGATATCTCTTTAAATTGGACATTAAATGCTTGAGTTCTTTTATACTGGACTTTTTTCCTGTTAGTTAAAGCAAAATTTCAGTGCTAGCACACTGTATGTAAAGCCACAATTGTATCCCCCAGGATTTCTACAACAGATAAAAAACGCTTGACTTGATGCATAGTTGAGTGCTTTTTTTTGATCTAAAGTTAATGATCCAAATCATTTTTTTTTTTTTAAAGCAGTCTTTGCAATTCAAACATTTTTTGCAAACATATACATTATGAAATGATGCATGCAATTTTCCTAATATAATATGTCAAGCCTAATTTCAGTATAATGATTTAATATTTCTCATCCTTCGCAGATATGGGCACGATGCAAAGGTAGTGCACTTTCTGGGCAAAGTGAAGCCATGGAACTACTCCTATGATGCCCAGAAAGGTGAGGTCAAAGGTAACTCCACATCTCCTGACCAATGCCAGATGCACCCGGACTACCTGCTCCAGTGGTGGCAGCTGTATGCCACATCCGTCCTGCCATTAATGCAGAAAGCGTATGGTGACACTCCGTTCAGCAGCGGCTGCGTGGTCCAGAAGAGCTGTCCTGTACGTGAACAGTGGTTTGTCATGTAGATGTAATTGAGAAACGGGTTGGTCTGTGTGTGTGTGTGTGGTTGAAATGAAGCAATGATAGATTTCTTTAAACTTGTCATGTAGCACATCTGTTGTAGCATGTTACAAAAAAATTGTGAAAATAAGAGGGTGCAGCTTTTTCTATTTTCTTTATGGTTGCAATTCAATAGAAATTTAAAGTTGAATTAAACTCCCAACAAAATAGTTTGGGTTGACATTCCTAAGCTGCAGTCTGTTGCCGCTCTGTTCAGTGCTTGCCAAACTAGATGGGAAGTTTCCATGCAGTGTGGTAATGGGCTTGGTAGTGAAATAGCTGGCAGTCACATGATGAAGGGGGGGATGGGTACTGCCAATACCCAGAGCTTTATCTGTTCGCCTGGAGCAGGACTATGTTGTATCAGTGACAAGTTTACACAGGCAAGCAGCAGAAGGTTACTGTGCACTTTCTCATGGAAGATTTTTATATATATATATATATATATATATATATATATATATATATATATATATATATATAGAGAGAGAGATGGGATATACTACCTTAAGCCAGTTTTTCTTTGTTAAATTTCTTTATGTAGTTTGTTTTTCCAAGATGTTACTCTTGAGCAACAAATTATTTTTTAAGGTAAATATTAGACATAATCAAAGCAATAGAAATTACCTGGTCTGACTGCTGGATTATTGGCACAGAATCTGAGTGGTCTGCTGTGTCTTTATGATGGTGATCAGTGTTGTTTACCTAGCTAACAGGAAACTGCAGCAACTGTTTCCCAGAGAGTTTACATTGTTGCCTTTAAACCAAATTTCCGATTGGCTCCCAAAAATTTCCAAATGCAGACTCTTTGTGTAGAATTTGTTGTAAGCCTTCCATCAGTGCTGAAGATGGTTTCCCTTTTTTTTTTTTTTGCCCTTAAATCTTGCATTTTCTGTGGCTTCGTTTTAAACACGTTGGTGAGAATAAAAAGGAGCAAACTTTAAGTCCTAATTCTGTAACTACTTTTAAACCCAAGAGTAGTCTTATTGAGCTTTAATGGATCTGGATTATTGAGATTTTGACCAACTGGTGGCTAGTCAAGAATAGCTGGGTTGTAAATCAGGTAATTTAGACAGACATAATTACACTCTATAGGTATAGGAGGTTGAAACTTTGGCAGGTCAGTTTGGTTGCTGTTAAGAGGCTGGAAAATGATAATGAATGAATTAACACAATAAACCCTCGCCTCAGTAACTAAAATCTGATCATTCTTTTTGCAGATTAATCGCTTTTTCATATTTGCACCTTTTTACTTATTTACTACTCTTGCAGTGGTTGGCACACAGAAAGTAGGTGGTTCTGACCAGAAGTTTGGTGGCTGTCTTTTCTTCACTTGGTAACTTTATCAACATGCTTTCAGTGACATGGCTTCATGTTTTGGTCCCTTATGTGGGGATTTTTAAACAAAGTTGCCAACCAAATACAGCCACAAATCCTTTGCAGTAAAAGTTTTGTCATTCTTTGCCTTCTTCTGAGTTGGCCTTGACATTATATCAGGGTTATGTTGATAAGTACAATTAGCAAGTTGGTTCAGTCTCTGATTTTCATGATTCCTTCTGTCTAGATAGCTGTCTGTTGCAGGGGATTTTGTGTGTGTTTTATGTTCACACATGCAACTTTTAGAATGTTTGTCTGTCTCTGCAGCTTTCGAGCGTTCTGGTTTTTGTTTTTTCCTTTCTCCTGAAATGAGGCGAAATACCTCTAAGATCATACAGTTTTGATATAATTCGATTTGTAAAAGATTATTAATTTTCTGATATTGATGCATCTAGAAATTTTATTTCCCACCCCAAATGCTTTGCATAAAGTGCAGTTATGAGCAATGAGGTTTTCACCATAAGGCTTTATGCAGTTCACCTTTCTTTATTTTCCAGGAGGCAAATGTTGCACATAAAGAAATTTGGTAAAAAAAACTAGAAAAGTAGTATCAATTCCTTCATCTCTCAGGAACTGCCTGCATACTCTTGCAACATGAGGCCAAGCATTGTTGTGCACCAGGAGGAACCCAGGACCCACTGCACCAGCATAGGTTTAGAAATGGGTGCAAGGATTTCATCCCGATACCTGATGGCAGTCAGGGTGCCGTTGTCTAGCCTGTATAAGTCTGTACGGCTCTCGATGGAAATCTCCTCCATGCTCTTGAGGTTGTGCTGGGAGACATGGCAAACCTTCTGGCAATGGCACATATTGATGTGCCATCCTGGAGGAGTTGGACTGCCTGTGCAACCTCTGTAGGGTCCTCATGCTAACAGTAGTGACAGTGACCCTAGCCAAATGCAAAAGTGGTGAAAAAGAGTCAGAAAAGATGAGGAGGGGGGAAAAACGTCAGTGGCCTCCACCTGTAAAACCATTCCTGTTTTGATGGTTGTCTCGTTTTTGCCCCTATAGTGCACTTGTTGTTAATTTCATTAACACCAAAGCAGCTGAAACTGATTAACAACCCCCTCTGCTACTTACCTGACCAAATCAATATCCCAAAAGTTTAATTGATGTTACTTGATGCTATACTATGATTAAAAAGTGTTCCTTTAATTTTTTTTAGGTGTGTGTGTGTGTATTCTCTGTAAATCTAAATGGTGATGGTGACATGCAAAAACAGTGCAAGGAATGAAAAAATGTCAATTACAGAGAGGGGGGTGTCTGAATCACTTGAGGGAGGCGTAGAGATTGATGACCACAGGCAGGAATGAATTCCTGTGGTGCATCTGGGTAAAAGGAGTCTACTGAATTGTTCCTTGGACTGAGGGACACCTCTGGTAAGAAAAAAAAATCATTAAAACATCTAACTTTTCAAGTTATCCTGTACACAGACTCTCCTAAAACCTAACCTCCTTGGTGGAGGTAAAACTCTGCAAGTAGCTGATCCTTCCGCCAGTGGTTCCTATTAACTGGTTACAACAAAGTGAAGCCAACATGAAACCAATATAATACTGCTTAAGAGGCTTTAAAGTATAGAAATGTTTATTTTCTACCCACTGACTTTTTATTCAATTTAACTTAGTTTAAGATTTAGAATTGACACATTTGTGTCAAGTTTGTCTAGATTATTTTCACTTGTTCTGATATTTTTGTTTCTGTGATTAGATTAAGTATCCTAAAGCACTAAAAGTGTTTTTAAAGCAGAAAGGACTGGGGGGGTGGGGCCAGTGGCCCTGAAGAAAGTGACTTGAAAAGACTCTTTTTAAAGTATTGCTCAAGTTTCTGTAAATGATACGCTTGCTTTGTCTGAATTTCAGGATAAACCTCATGAGGACGTGAGAGAGCAGCCAAAGCCTTCTACTCCCCCTTCCTCCCAGACCGTTTCGTCAGAGGAAAGGAAGCAGCGCTGGGAAGCAGGCCAGATTGATTACTTGGGCGATGACTCCTTCACAAACATCGAACAAAAACTCAACTCTTTCCTCAAGTAGCGGGTGTCTGAGGGAGTGTGATAGACAGCGGTTCAAGCTCTGGGATTAAGAGTGGTGGGGGGATCTACCACCCATTCTGCCAAATGGAGAGTTCTACATTCATTTTGAAGATTTGGCTTCTTTTGGCAAATTTCCCAAGCACTACAACATTCACCGTTTTTCTTTAAACAGTTTACCCCAATTCAGGCAACATCTTCTTGCTAAAAGTTTAAGATTGGCCTGTCGGAAGTTAAATGGGTCTAGAAATGATTAATCTTGTATTAATCTAAGCACTGTGAATGGTAGAATGATTTAGACATTTATTAAGGGTTTAAAAATAGATAACCCCTAAGTGCTAACCTTTTATAAAATAAACTCTTCCGATACTTTTACTTTAGCCAGTTGTGTTGGTTGATATTCTGAATGCCTTCAGGAAACCACCTTTCTAATTTGACTAAAAAGTACCAAAAAGGGACATGCCTGAAGTGCGGCATCCTGGTTATGTTTTTTTCTTTGGTTTGCATTGTTCAAGTTTTCATGCCCCTTTTTAAATTTGTTAACTTGCTATTCCTTCTTGGACTCAGCTAGATGAGTGCCAAGTCAAACATTTTGAACAGTTAAAAAAAAAGAAAAAAGAATTCAGCTCCAGAATCCAGCCCCCAGGTATATTTGCAATAAGTCTGTTTAGAGCACAAAGCATATATGCAACCGGCTCCCTCTTCCCGTAGCCACGGCTTTAAACAACTGTTCACCTCAAGAGAGTATGGAGGAGCGTTCCTGTCTGTGCTGCTTGACACTCACCAGCTCCCTGTGACTTCAGCTAAATAACATCTGCTGTATTGTTAACTTGTTTGCATGGCACAGAGTTAAAAAGCGGGTTTGTAATAAAGTGCTTCCACCCACGTCCAAAGGTGATTTAAAGTTTCATGTGTATTTATGCACTCCTCGTATACGTTTCTATTGGAATCCCTTCGGTATTTGTGCCCTGGCCTGCATTTCATCAGTTTCCTCTCTGTAGTGTAACCTGCTGCCTTACTGCCTGCTGACAGTTTACAAACCCCTCCAACCTTATCTGCTGCTGCTATTGTGTTTCTGTGAACCCCCTCTTCCCTCATGAGAACAACCTCTTTACTACCACCTGTGTTGGTCAAAGTATAACCTACAGCACTTAATGATTCACTCCTCTGTCCATTGCACAGACTCCTAAAAGGAAAAAAAAAGTGAAGTTGATAGTAAGTCTGAGAGCAGCGTGTAGGTGTGGATAATTGTTGTTTTAAGACCTTTTGATGCATGTTTCCCAGCTGTTAACTGTTCATCACCTTTAACAAATTAATAAACCTGTGAAAAAGAATATGCTTTCTGTTTGACTGTCTGAGCTGAGGATTTTCTATGCACTCAAATACACCTATGATAATTACATATACAGGGTGGTAAAAGGTAGTAAATTGACAGAACTCTGCTTAAGGCCATTAAAAGGTAACAGAATTTGATATGGGAGCAAGGGCGTAGGAATATGTTTACAATTGGGGGGGACACATGTCGGAAATCTGAGATTCGTAAATATTCAACAGAAACATATCTTAAGTACACTACTTAAAAAAAAGGCTATTTAATCTTTTACTTTATTCCTTTATAAATGTGTCTTGCAAAAATAATGCATTTAAAATTTACATAATGCATTTGTTCATAAGATGTGAGCATATCACCAAACAAAATGACTGGAGTCTTTTATTAAGCAAAGGGAGATGTCTTTCAAGGGCTTCAGCCCTTGGCATATTTAGTGTCCGCATACGCATTAGAAAATCAAATATTTCAGTTTGATTAAAAACAATTCAGTAGGCCACAGAAGTGCAAAGTTTGATATGTTTTATTTTGTCAAACTTGCAATAATGGTCAAAAATGAATTTATATAGGTTGACTGACAGAGGGAGCTGACGGTGTGTTGAAGAATTATGGACAGGCGCTTTGAAGCATCTGGTTCAAAAACGCATTCTAAACCTTTGGTAGAAATCCATCTATCCTTCCATTTTCTGTACACCCTGTCCCTTAGTGGGGTCGGGAGGTGCTGGTGCGGGGTACACCCTAGACAGGTCGCCAGTCTGTCCAGACCTTTGGTAGAAATGGCGCCTTTAATTCCAGTTTGCAGTACAGAACAGAGAAAACTACAGAGTTGTCAATGTTGTGTTAATCTGTTTATAGTCTAAAAAGAGGAGCCAGCAGTTTATTTGAGGAAATAAAGGTGCAGAAGTTAATTAGTTGGTTAATTAGTGGTTGCACAACCAATGCGACCGCCACTGCTAAGATTTAAAATGAATTCTCCCTGTGGTTTTAACTAACGATCAGGAGCACGGCAGGTATAACATCTGTCCATTTCGAGGAATGAAAACCACGAAAAAAATAAAAAATCCTCGTAAAACTCACGCCCAGACCGGGCTAATTTCAACACAAGTTGTGTTAGGTGACTGTTACTCACACTGACGTTTCTCTTTTTAAACTAAGTCCTACTGCTGTTTCAGCCTTTTAGTTGGTGGTGGCATTGTACTGAAATGAGATATATATAAAAAAAAAAAAAAAACATTTTGGCTAGCGTGGCAAACGTCTAGAGAAAGTAAGCAGTTAAATATTGGATGAGTGATCAGCCCAAGACTACGGAAGAGGATAGGGCCACTGAAAAAAAAAAAGAGTTAAGTGATTTTTTAATTTTATTTCAGTTTAATATGGGAAAAAAGTCAGAATTCTGACTTTTTTTTCTCAGAATTCTGACTTTTTTTTCCTCAGAATTAAGACTTTTTTTCTCAGAATTCTGACTTTAATCCCAGAATTCTGACTTTTTTTCTCAGAATTGTGGATCTTAATGTAGATGGGCACCATGAAGGAAGAGATGCGGAGCACTCAGCTTCACAAAGATGCGAGTTGTTTGAGGTGGCTAGTGACACATTGGTGGAAAATGACAGAATTAGGCAACTTTTTACGTGCCCGAGGGGTCCCCTCATTAATGGAGGAGCAGAAGGTCATTAAAACAAGAGAGCTAGTCTCTAAAACAGACATGGCTATGGCTTGATGTTAACATTTTGTTATATTACATTTGTGTTGTGTTTTCCAAATAGTGTAGAAAATGAATGGTGGGTTTATAATGTTTACCTTTTATGAGCAGGACAGTAAGCAGAGAAGTGTAGCATTACCTCCAACTAGTTAAACTCACAATTATGAAGTGATTCAACAAATTCCTCAAGTAAAAAAGTGCAACTTTTATTTATTTTTTACCAGATTTGTTGATTAATTTCAAAATTATGTATTCCTTCCAAATTTCCAAATCTGAAGAATTTTTTAAACCAATATCTACATTATTTAACATTTAGTTTGTTTTATTAGTACATCCTGTTATATTTCTTTAAACGTATATTTTACATTTTCAGCAGATTTGAAATTGTGTGCTTGTGTAAACACAAGTAGTCAATCTTTACTCTAAACATATATTCTGGTTATTTTTTAGTTAGACCTTCTTGTTTTTATATATCTGTATAGTACCCCCCCCCCCAAAAAAAAAAAAAACACTGTAAATTGATTAGAAATATTAATCATCTGTCAGATTTATGAGAAAAAATGTCAGAAGAAAAAAGTCAGAATTCTGACTTTTTTACCCATGTTAAACTAAAAAAAAAAAGTAAAAATCAGTTAACCTTTTTTTTTTCAGTGGCCCTAATCCTCTTCCGTACAAGACTAAGATGACTAAACCAAAAAGATTCAGTTTCTATATATGAAAGTGAACTGACAAGACGTTATAAATAGGCAATATTCATAGCAGCATTCCCGACAGACCATTTTACCTCATTCACAAGTTTCTGAATTCTGTGTCGCCGTTTCCCTCCCTTCAAACACACAGCAGTTCAGAGAGGGGAGGGGGAGTACAGTGACGTAACGCTATGCTGCGCCTTCAAAATAAAAGCACGCTAGTTAAAAAAAATGTCAAAATAATATGTTGCGGTACAATTTTTGGGGGGGGACATATCCACCTGGCTTTTATATTGGGGGGGACATGTCCCCCACGTCCCCCCCGCTTCCTACGCCGCTGTATGGGAGTACATTTTTTCAACCCTTCAATATATTCTAACTATTCCATTGATACTGATTTGTTAAATTAATTTAAACTTTTTTTTATTTTTTATAAATTGTATGCAACTTGGCCTGAGCTGATGTTTATAAACTCGTTTTGTTCTGTTGGCTGACTTGCTTTGTTTTAACTGCCTAATATGTTGAAACTAGTCATTTTGCTCTCCACTATGAAGAAATTGTGGTTTTCACAACTTTTGCTCACTGTAAAACCAGTACATTGAACTCCAATGATTTAAGGACACAAATTGCCTTAAAAAAATAACTGACTTATGTTGAACAGTAAAATCCCAATTTTTTTATTTTTATTAAAAGTACCACGATTTTTAAAACTAATAAACAGACTTATTCTCTAGACTGAATTTAGGACCAGTAAGATTCTCACAATTTTTTTTTATAGATCTGACTCTGTAGTCTCTTATATGAAACATCAGCTTTTTTTTTTCTATCAATTGAGCTTAAGCGTGGAAATTTCATAGTCCTGCAATTAAGGGTTCACATCCAACGATCCACCGTGCTGTTGAACTCAATATAATGGAAACCTAAGGAATGGTGCAACATTACGAGCCCCAATCTTGTTGGTTGTAATCGGCCAATTGGGTGGGGGTTGTGGGGCATGTCCCACTTCCTCAACAAATATTGGTTTATGAAATAAGTTTAAGTAATCGGTTTAACTAAACACTTTGGTTCAGTGTTTGATGATCCAGCATTTAAAGACTGGCTTTTTGCAGAGTATACAGAAAATATAGATGTTACCATGAACAGTGTTGGCTCATCATACCAATGGCATGGAGGTGTTCTAAAATAGGTTCAGACTCTGACCAAAGGTTTTGTATGCATGAGGTCTTAGTGGTCTCGTGTTTTTTTTTTTGTTTCACTGATAAAGTTAACACAGGAATTGCTGTTTAACCCTGATATGAATAAATGGTTATATTGTAAGCAATTTAGGGCGGCTTTTAACGATTAGTTTGCCAATCAATTAATCTCTTTTTTGATTGTTAATCAGATAAAGGTTACTTAAAGAAAACTTTTTCACAAAATTAACCAAGCTGAAACTACAACTTCTACCCTTCAGGAGTTTTGGATAGAGCATATTGAGATGAATAAAATGATTTTTTTTTTTTTTTTTTTACAATTTTGATATTTCTTTTAAGTACATCAGGAAAAGATGAGCTTATGGTTAAACCTATTGATTCAGGTCCTTGAATAAAAAAAACACCACACTGTAGCGTTTAGCGGCAGATATTCAGCTTAGGTTGGTAAGTAAATTTCCTAAAATAGTCAAGCAACAAATCAGAGAATGTTTCTTTATTGCAACAGAATAAATCCATAGGACTGCAGCAGGTATGTTTTGTTGAAAAAACTTGGTCAATTAATTTGGTACAGAAGCAAAACAAGGTATAAACTTAAGCCTTTTTATTTTAAATTAGTGCAATTCTTTGTAAATCTCAGACTAAATCCTTTTAAACTGAAACAAAAGGAAAGCGTACCAGTTCATAAGTACAGATATAAGTACAGATAATAAGTACAGATATAAGTACAAATAAGTACAGATATCCTTAATCAGCTGAACGTCTACATCTCCAACAGAGCTCTGATGTCGTCGATCCGAGAGGTTTTCCTGTCCATGTTGGCCAAGCCGAACGTCTTCTCCACCAGGTCTTGCTTCTTCTTTTGGATCTTCACCATGTTCTCCTCCACCGAGTCCTTCACAATGAACTGCAGATGTACACAAATTAGGTCAACTCTTCAAAAATACCGCAGTTCAGCAAGGCGGTTGAGATGAAGTCAATCATTCAGCTTTTAGAGCAGAGATTTATGCCAACAGTGGAAAACTAGTGATGTTGCAGCACAAACGCCTGTTCAGCACCACGCTGACCTTGGTTACGACGACGTTTCTCTTCTGGCCTATACGGTGGCAACGATCGATACACTGCTCTTCAGTAGCAGGGTTCCAGGCCTCAAAGACACAAAGCACTTTATTAAAAAAAAAACAGCCCAGTTTGGACAATTTCCTGGAGTTGATCAAACTTGTTAAGCGTCTTATATCCTGGTGGAAATCACCCTGACTTTTTTTTAAATAAATGGGTGACACAGCATTCCTATGACCATTGATAGTGTTTAAAGAGAACTAAAAAGAATTTAGTTTTCTAGATCTGAATTCAGGCACGTTCACTTACAGGATCCATGAGGAAAACATGAGAGGCTGCAGTCAGGTTAAGCCCGACCCCTCCGGCTTTGAGCGACAGCAACATGACTTTAGGACTGTCTGCCGCAGAGCTCTGAAACTCCTGGATGATCTGAGTTCTCTTCTTCTGGCTCATTGTGCCGTCCAGACGTACAAAACTGAAGCCGTGTTCTCTGTGGATGAGGGAGCATTAATGCCATGCTTTGGTGCTGAGGCCATTTATCTGGGCTCTGTGTTTTACCTGAGTGGGGTCTGAAGGATGGTGAGGAAACGTGTAAACTGAGACACAACCAGGCATTTGGTGTTGCTGTCTTCGGACCGCAGCCTGAACAGGTTTCCCATCAGCGCCTGAACCTACAAACCAGCGGGTTTTAGAGGAGGAAACATCTTTTCCAAAAAGACTGCTACAAGTGTATGTAAAATGGGTATGATGAGATTAGCTTTCAGTCTCCAATAATAGAATACTTTTATCACTAAAGAATAAACTATGTAAAATATGTTTGCAATGTGAAATAGTGATTAATTCACATTCAGTATAAGGCTGAGTTTGTCATACTTAAAAATGTCCTAAAAGGATAAATATCTTTACTGGGTAAGGCAGCTCGTAAAATAAGCAAGAATGGATAATTTAAAATACAAACTGCAAAATTATATTACAGTAATGCTCAGGGCTCGATGTTAACCATCGCCCGATCTCTTGGGGCAAGTAGTTTTTATTGTTAGGAGAGTACTAATTTCGCAAAAAAAATTATTTATCACTCAAAATTACTTTAAAATCACCGACATTCGATGAAAACAACCCAGAAGCGTTGCCGGCGCCATTTTTGTTGTTTTGTACACATTCTCGCGTGATTTGAAAAAGCCATGTGATTTTCCTCCAGATGGCGTGATTTTTGTCCACATGGCGGTAATTTTGATGTAGTTACCAAAACGACAAACTTATCCTGAGTTAGTTAAAAGTCAGGGAATTCTGAAATGATGTAATACTGTGGAAACCCTGTTTAAAATAACTATGTACGGTATAATGATTCTCTAGAAAAGTCACATTATATTAATAGTATTATTTTGTATAAACATACGGTGACTCTAAAATAAATGTTATTCATTTGTGACATTGACTTCTGTCTTATGATTTATCTTAAGTTTTTAACCTGTCAAGTTTTTTTTTTTTTAGTTTTTTAACATTACAATTTATATTTTTCCAAGCACACAACAGTTTAAAGCAAAGTTCAGTTTGAAAAGAATGTGCAGGAAGGATTGAAAAAGATGTTAACACAGTAATGTAGGTTCGAGTTCATTATCTGACGCATGCATATACACACCAGGAACCTGTAAACTTAAAAAAAAACTGAATTACAAAAAACATTTAAAAAACAAACATGTTTCATTGATATATATACAAAAATTTATATTAGGAACTATATTTATCAAACATTATACTGGGCAAGTAAAAATTGTTTCTAGGCAAATTAAATATGAAAGTCACTTGCCCAAAGGGCAAGTGGTAAAAATCCTTAACGTCAACCCCTGAATACTTGATTTAACACATTCATCACTTATGGGACCTTTAAAGGTAAATACAGTTATTCTAACAAATGTTTATTCATTAAGGTGTTGCAACATATAAGCAGGAAAAACGAAGTTGTGATTTTTAAGGTTGAAATACAAAATATATTTATCACCAGGTTAAGAAGAAGCCTTGGAATTAAAAGTAGGAATACAAAAAAGACAAAGAAAATTAAAATTTATAGATGGCAGGAAAAATCCAAAGAGGATTTTTTTTTTTTACACTTTTCCTCTTCCAGCAGAAATGTAAGCCTTGGGTTGTTGCTGTTTGTACCTTTGAACTTGTCCTCCAGCTGTCAGAGTTCATACTCGTCTCATCTTCTGTTTTCTCTGGCGGAAACTCCACCAGCTCACTGGCCTTAATATCACTTCGACAGAGAGGACACCGGGCCTTCTGTTATAAAAGTCACAGCGCGCCGGAATTAAGACAAAGTGAGTAAACTGCAGATTTATGTGTGACAATTATGTAATATTTGTCGGGAGAGATAAGAAATCCCACCTGCTCACCGCTGATGACCTGAGCGATGCAGGGCCGGCAGTAAACGTGGGCGCAGTGAGTGATGACGGGTAGACGGAGGGAGTCCAGACACACAGAGCACTCCTCGTCAGAGCCACTGGCTAACACCAGCCGCAGTCTTTCTATCAGCCGCTGCCGCAGATCTGCTGGATTGTCCGCGGCGGCTGAATGCGGAGGAAACCTGATCAGAGTGTTTTCAGCACCTTTACAACCTCCCGATCTCATTGAGCTAAATGAGAGTTTACCGAATTCTGCGGATATTTTCCCAAGCAGATCAGGATGGCAGCAGTATTGTCTGAGCCTCGTCAAGATGGCGAGGACGTCAGCATAATTCTTCAACACAGACCCTTCGTCTACATATCTACAGATAGAAAACATACAGATAAGGAAACAAAGAGGGATTTTTAATACAATAAAGCACGCATCCAACACAATACCTGCCGATTGTGCGGCGTCCCTCTTTGCGAGCCAGCTCATACTCCTCCCTCTCCTGCTGGCTGAGCTCCACCTGCTCCACGTAAACAGTCTTCTTAGGTAGCGACACCAGGTGCTGCCCGTTCACCTTGCTGTTTTTGGTCCGTCTCAGCGTGATGCACTTCACCAGATTCTGAAGGTTTCTGTAACACAACCACAATAGCAAAGAGCCAACCTTCATACCTTATGTATCTTCACATTTTCCACGTCAAAGTTTCACACTCAGGATGAGAGAGAGATAAAAAGCTAGAAAAGCTAGAAGAGTTAGAAATTACTTGAACCAAATCACATTTTTTAAAACTGTAGGAACTGTAAACCTGAGTTGCTTCCTCTAGAGTATTTATGGCAAAAGTACATAGATGTGCTTTAAAGGGCACTCACTGCAGGCCGACCCTATCTCCCAGTGTGACCGGTCTCTGGATTACTCTGTTCCACCACTCCCTCACATCGAAGGGCTTCAGCCGCAGGAAGGCGAGCAGCATCCACAGGTCCTTCACACTGTTCTGGACCGGAGTACCTGAAGAAAAGGCAGCGATGGATGCATCAATCCAGCTATAAATCAAAGTTATATTCCAGAGTCTGAGGGTATTCTCTAAAGAAAATATATTCTGCTAGAAAAGTAGGTCTGCTGCAAAGCTGCCAATTTTAGCTAACTTAACATCATTGCTGACTTATTTGCCTATATCAGTGAGGTGACTTTACCTGAAAGTATCCAGCGTCTCTGAGCTTTCAGTTCCAGCACAGCCTTGCTCATCTGTGCGTTTGGGTTTCTGATGATGTGTCCTTCATCCAGAACCACCCTCAGCCAGTCGACCCCATGCAAAGGACTCTTATTCTGAAAGAATAACCCAACAGCATTTAATGTTTGTTAACCAATCAAAACCTAACATGTGAACCCTAAAGCTCACGTCTGCAGATTCATTTTTGATCTTTAACAACCATTAATGCCAACTCACTCCAAACTCGCTAGAGAGGACATTGTAGGTGGTGATCACCACATCCTGAGAGGACAGAAATGACTCGCTCCTGTTGCGCTCGGAACCGTAGTACAGATAGATGTTGGGCTTCACGTTGTGCTGCAAGTGTTGCTCTAACTGGTCCTGAACACAGGAATGAAAAAAGGGCACAAAGAACATTAACTCTAAAACTTAATTTGTTCTTTTTAGTTTTTCAGTTAGAAATGAGCTGCATGATGTCCTGCAGCTCTGATTCCAATTTATTTTAAATGGATTTTATCAGATTAGGAAAAACATTAATAAGTATCTAAAAAGTTTGACGTGTATTCAGTCAAGCAGCCCTACTAAGTAAATACTTTGTAGAACTACGTTTCCGTGCAGCTTTATCTGCAGGTCTTTAGTATTATTTCTGCACTGGTTTAAAAAAATGTAGAATAAAAAATTTCCTTTAAAAAGTAGCTGAAGCTCTGTTAAATTTGACGGAGTGCATCAAGTGATTACTATGTCTACAAGAAAATGCAACCCAGTGTGAACAAAGCTCGGACAGATGGAGGCTAGTTTTATATTAGCAGTGAAGCACTGAGACATTTTGTCAGATCACTAATTGAGTTGTTTTCTGCATAAATTCAGTAAAGTCATTTCAAAGTAGCAACAGATAAAGGATTGTTTAAGCTTTCCACAGACAGAAAGAATGAGGGACATAGTCAGGTTGGTTGTCGCTGAGATTGTGTCTGATACCTTTTGCAGTTGCAAAGGTGTGAGTGAATATAGCAGGGAAGATGAAAATCTATAACACGTTTTTATCAAGTATGCAATCAGGTTATTTATCAGTATTTTTAGCCTATTCCAGCATATGAATGCCTTGGATGCAGTTTATTACCTCGTTTGTTTGCAAGTAATCAAGCAAAGCAATGTCTTTCAAGGCTGAACATTAGCACACAATGTAAAGATGACAAAAGACCGAAGAGGTTCTGCTGTGACCTTCTTACAGGCAAACAACCTGTAGCTCCAATTGGTTACTGTTGTTTTCACTTTCATTAGATTATCCCTATTAAACATTTCCTTTAAAGTCCTTTAAAGTTTTAAAAATAGAATTAACCATATTCCAACCAATAAATACTACAGCTAAGCATATTCCCCACAGACAACTTAAAAAAAAACAACTAATTCCCATGTTAGCTTTGCTTTAATGCAAAATTCTGACAAAGGCTCTGTTCGAATTCATTGGACGCGTCTTCAGAAGGCCAGATTCGAAAGACGACTACATCATAGAGCGGCGCCGAGGTCTGGTCGGATTCCAAGACTCCTCGTTATGCGGCCTTAAAATGCGTCCGTCTTTTTGTTCAATTTGAAGGACGGGTCCTCACTATCCTTGGTTTACCCAGGATCCATTGCAAGACCAAGCAAACCGGCTGCTCAGTAATTAGAGAAAAGGTTACTTGGTGCCAAACAGTGGTGAATATTGGAAGTTCAGTTTAATATAATACAAGTCTGTGAATAGTTCCGTCTGAAATAAATGAAAATAGTTGTTTTAAAGGATATTGACTTAGATATGTGGCGGTAATGTTTGATTTATTTAATGGCTTTTATCTGTTACTGTGTAAAGGGGTTTGGCTGCAATTTAAGGACAGATTCTAATATATCTGCACTGAGGGGACTATAAATCTGATAGGATTTTTATTTTTTTTATTGCCGTTTTGCACAACGTGCTTAAAGTATTTTTTGTTGTTGAATATTGGATTTTTTTTTAGATATATTTTTTATACATACCGTATTTTCACAACCATAAGGCGCACCGGACTAAAAGGCGCACTCTCAGTTATGTGTCCCATTTCTGTATTTAACGCACACATAAGGCGCACCGGACTATAGGGCGCGTTTTTTATATACAGGTACATGTCCTCTACTACCTTTAAATACCTCTACTGCGTATTTAAAAATACAGCGGGGGCAAAACTGAGTATGACTGTGCTTTATTCATGTATTTATTACAAAGTATTAATCAAACCTGGCAGCTGGCCGTGAGACAGACACATCGCAGATGACACAGCGCTGTGGTCACTCCTAACTTAACTTAAAATCCTGAAACCTGCCGACGGAATATGTTCGCTTTTATTACCGGTATCCTGGTGCCTGCAGCTAAAATTATTTAGATGAAAAACACCTGCCAGCAGCCGCGGTGAACAAAAGGATTTCTCCTGTCGGCGCACCGCTGGTATGTGGGGGTCTGAGCGCCTCCGACAGAAATAGATAATCTGGATGAACTGACTGCAATTATTAAGTTTTCAGGTGGCCTTTCTCACTTAAAAACATATTAAAACTACTTTATTCCAACTGATCACAGCAAATATAGCTGCAAGATTTAGATTATTTAGATGAAAAAACACCTGCCAGCCACCGCGCTGAAGAGGAGGAGACGCGCTCAGAGTCTGCTGTTGAATTAAGTTTTCAGGTAGAAAAATAGAGCAGGAGCAAACCTGAGTATGATTGTGCTTTATTCATGTATTTATTACAAAGTATTAATCAAACCCATCAAAGTCATCATCCTCTGTTATCCTCAGCATTCCTCTGAATAAAACAGCTGGGCTAAATCAGACATGCCAGTTTCCCCTTTTTCTGCGCTGTCAGTCACTTTCCGTGCAGCGCAGCTCCTCAGAAATAATGCCGGCTTTTGCAAAAGCTTGAACAACAGAGCCAGCAGACACAGTCCATCTACAATCCATCCGCAAACGGTGGCGTAACTTGCACGGCGCTGCCTTCCATTTATCATGAAACTGTGGTCTCAGTCTGTCATCCATCGCTCCCACGCCGCTCGCAGCCTTTACTGTGAACGGCCGCGTCACACCGATGTCAAGCGGTTGAAGTTCCTTTGTCAGACCCCCGAGATAACGGCGAGCACAGCGTTCATTTGATTCATCTTTTTTTCACATCGGCTGTGAGATGGGCACGCAGCGATGGTGATGCGTGGAAAAAAGCACCTGGTCTCCTCACATACACCTGCCTTTCATCATCTCCTCATTCATCCAGCCTTTTTCATTTGCGTTAATATCATGTCATCAGAGCGCTGTGTCTGTCTGCTGTCAGCTCCCAGATCAGCTTCTCTGATTGGTTGATGCGGCACGTCCAGCAACAAAACTTCAATTTTTCCATCTGAGCAGCAGCAGCGCGTTGGCGGCGCTTCAGATGCTTAAACGCTCCCGACGTGCTGCACCAAAACGCGCTGCAGGACCTTTTGCTGCACCTATATGCGCGTCAACCATTGACTTTGCATGTAAACTCGCTGCTTCTGCTGCACCTGCTGGGTCCGGTTCACACCGATGTCGAGCGGTTGAACAGCGAGCACAGCGTTAATTTGTTTCCCCATGTTTTTCACATCAGCTGTGAGATGGGCACGCATGGAGTTACATATTAACAGCGATGGTGAGGGGTGGAAAAAAAACACCTGGTCTCCTTACATTCAGCCACTCTTTCATCATCTCCTCAATGAGGTGGTCTCAAAAGTCGCAGTTACAACACACATAAGGCGCACCGCACCATAGGGCGCACCGCACATTTTGAGGAAAAAAAAAGACGTTTAAGTGCGCCTTATAGTCGTGAAAATACGGTACATTGTTTAGATTTACTTATATCTTTCTACCTCTTTTATAGAATAAAACAGAATAGAAATCTCTTTATTGTCCCAAAATCGGCAAATTTACAGCAGCAGAAAGAAAAGAAAATGTTGACCTTAGAAAAATGTATAAAAATAACATAATAGGGAAGAGTTAAAATATGAACGATAAAATACTGTACTGTAGTGTTTAACAACATAAAACTGTGCAACTGGAGAATAAATTACCAATATGCAGCTATGGACATTTTTACAGCAATGGATATTGGAAAACAGCAGCAACATCAGAGATGTGCAAAATGACAGCAGCATGTTATTTAACTGAATAAGCTTTATATAATTACATTTGCTTTTATTTGTTCATGCTCCCTGTATTGCACTCTGTATTCTCATGAGTGTAGTCTTTGTTTACTTACAATAAAAAATAAATAAACAAACAGTTTTGAAAACTTCGGTATTCATTCTTTTCCTGCTTTGTGTGTCAACTTTCACGGTTGTTAAGCTACATAGCCTACGGCAGTAAAACTCGCCGAAGAATAGACCTGTCTGAATTCACAGCCAAAACTCTTCCGGTCTCCTTATTTTCATGGACTTCTAAGGATCCAGTCCAGGTAGAACGCGTCCTTGGAGGATACAGCCCATAAATTCGAACAGAGCCAATATTGTTAGATAGAGTGAGAGATACTGCTGCTCCTGTGAGGGAGGGTAGTTTTACCTCGGGAGAAATCGCTATCACTGATTGGTCAGTTGCTGTCCAGCACCCTGGATTGATTGACAGGTTGAGATTTTCTTGATGAAAAATTGGCTTTGATTTTGACCTAGCCTTTCCAGCTCTGGCTGTTTGTTAAGCTGGAAAGAGAACCTCCCTGTCTGAAGGCTTTGGTCGCCTCTAAAAGGTTTTCTTTCAAGATTAGTGTTTATAGAGCTTTATTTGTTTTCACATGAACTCTGACAAGCTTCTCTGTCTCTGCAGAGAAAGATTAATTCCCACAGTGTGATGACGCTACCACCGTGTGAACTTCATTTCCCAATTAGATGACTTCAGAGGGCAAATTTGTGAAGTTTAAGTATATCAGAACACAATATGCTGAATAAAAAAATGCACCACACTTTTCAGAACCTTTTGGGGAGAGGAAAAATGCTCTATTTCTTAAATGTCACAATTATTCACTAATCTGTGCACTTTCTATTTCATAGAGATCCCATTTAAACACAATGAAGCTCATAAAAGTCAAGGGGGGGAAAAATGGATGAATACCTTAGCAATTTCCATCAATAAGTTTAGGAGAAGCTCTTACCAACCAGTTGCTGAGCACAGAGAGAGGACAGATGATAAGAGTTGCCCTCGCTGAGAAATCATCTGTATATTCAGAGATGGGAACTTCCACACCTGCATATAGAAATAGCATTGCTGGTGTTTGCAAACTTCAAGTATTCTCTGACATCATCTAAGCACAGACTTAAGGTGAACCAGAAAACATCATTATGGGTTTGACTCACTCTGTTTAAGTTTGCTCTTCTTAGCTGTTTTCTTCTTCTTTGGGACTGTGTCTGATGCTGAGCCACTCAGGGCCGCCGCAAAGTCCAGGTCTTCAAACAACGCTGAACCATCTGTGTAAACAGCACAAGGAGTTTCAGAGGAAAGAAATCCCACTTCTTACTAACACCACATTTATCTAAGTGTAGATCTCCAACAGAATAGTTCCTCAACTAGTCAAGTTTATACATTCAAAGTTAATAGTTTGCACCTTTACTGGTTTTCCGTTTAGAGGGTTTATGCTTCCCTTTGCCTGTACCTGCAAATACGAAAGACAACAAAAATACAAAGCGATAAAAAGAAAAGCAGAAAATGGGTATGCAGATTAGCCGAAGGTAAATACATAAATAAAATACATTTCTAAAGTAAAAGAACTGATTATTACTTTTCTGTGGCTCATCTTCTATCAGCACCACATCTGCTTGATCAACACAAACCACATCTTTCTCTGGACTGAACCACATATATAAAAAAAAAAAAATCAGTCCAAGATAGCACAAAATTAAATACTGAATGAGTTTAAATAAAACACCTGAAACCCCAAAGTGATACAGAAATTGAAAATCATCCTTACATTTCTGAGCAGAGTGAAATTCCCCCTGCTGCACTAGCTGTATCTCTGCTCTCTAAAAATGATAAGAATTAAAATATACATAAGTTTAATTTGATATATTTTAATGGTAATCCTAGAGAGATAGTTAAAAGATCAATGACAAAAATCAATGAGGGAAGATATGCAGTGGAAAAATTGCCATTAACAATAGAGTTACCTTCCAGTTTAGAGCCTTCCAGTAGCTTACGTTTAGTTTTAATAGGCTTAGATGGTCCGTCCTGCACACATACAGGCAAACCAGTGACTGACTACACCAATTCTGCAGAATAAAATCTAGTGGGCAAAAAAAAAAAAGTGCAGCTTACACATTTCTCAACAGGCAAAGGTTTTCCTTTGTGGAAGTTAGTGAGGATCAGAGCGATGGTTGTCAGAGTTTTACCCTGAAAAAAAACCAACATAATAATGAGTCACAGTTATTACATTTAACTCATTGTGTGGTATAACTTAGGACTCGTCACTCACCAGTCCCATGTCATCAGCCAGTATTCCCCCCCGAACCCTCTCTGGTAATTCTTTAGCAGAGAAACACGTGAGGCTGTTGTAGTAAAGCTCGCCTCGCTTCTCCCAGAAAGGTGGCAGTGTGTCTTTATTCTCCCGAGCGCACATCCAGGACAGGGCCTGCTTTTGGTGGGGCAGCAGGGGAGTGACCACAGCCTGCAGAGATATATATACAGGTCATTTTGCTTGTAAGACAAACAAACACAATTTATTGGATCATTCTGAAGTGAAAATCAATTTGGAAAATGCAAGAAAGTTTCCCAGTGATCCTGCTTAGGTAAAGGGCATTACAAAAAACATGTCACTCACAAATAAGACTTCAAAGAGAAATGTGTCTAAATTTGTCTAAGCCTAATAAATAAAAATATTGGTACTTTTGTTATTGAATAATTCCTAATTTATTGAAATGCATTGAGTTTATAAATGTGAAGTTTTTAAATAGGATTTGTACACATCATAGCCAAAAATGCTATAATTTTTAATGTTTGACATGATTACTTCTTTCAGTGTTTTGGCCTTGGTTTCCTCATTTTCCATTTTAGGTTAAGAATTTTAACAAAAGGTGTTAAGAGAAACTTTACAGAGCAGGGTTCGTAGGTTATTTTACAAACAAACCAACCAACAAATTGACCAGCACTACCAAAAACATTACCGTCTAAGCAGTTATAATGCTGAAAAATATGTTACAACCGCCTTTATGTGTATATAAGGATGTAATAGGGTGAGTAGGCTTACATGTAGGGCTTTTTATGGAGAGAGAGGGGTACTTGAGCTCTATGGAAAGCTATTGACTGAACTTGTCTAATTACTCTTTCTAAATATATGCTGCCCCCTAGGAGAGGCGAGCCCAAAAAAAAATGTCAGACCATAACCTTTTCTGTAATCTTTCTAAGCAAAAAAATGAAAACACACCCTCTTTGACAGAGGTAAAATTAAGAGGTATAAAGACCTTTGCAAGGTTAAAGTAACATGCAATGTCAGAGTGTTTCATTTTTGTCAACGATGACAAAATAATTTTGTTGACACTACTTTTTTTTATTACCATAATGAAAACTGACAAGCTAAACATGAATCTTTGATGACGAAAGCATGACGAGTCTTGCGTATGAGTTTTCGTTAACGGGACAAGACAAAAAAACCCATTAAAATGCATTATTGTGCGAAGCACATTCTGCACGACCACAGATGAACCATGGCAGCAGCGGCAGTGGTGAAGGTAATCTGGAATGGTCTGGTACTGCACGCTCAACTCAGAAAAACTTTGCTCTTCCAGCTTTGCTTTAGCATAAATGCGTCTTTGCACGGCTTAGCTCAGAGCCTGCGCTTTACACTCCACACTGATGGTTCGGACTCAGCACTATGGCTCTTCCTGCTCTCGCTACTCAATAAACTCAATGTGGCTAATCATCCTCTGCAAAGCCCTCAAAGATAAGTAACTATCAAGATTTTATTTCTTCCTGCTCATAAGAGATGATGCAAAACCTTTCTACCGTAAGGAATCCCTAAATTATATCTATAGCAAATATTTCATTGCATACAATTAATTTTTTTAGACCCAGATGAAATTTTACATTGGTCTTTGAATATTTCTCTCTCAAGGCTCTTTTTTTTTTATCTATTTGAATTAGGGTCGTCACGATACTCAATACCGATACTAAGTAAAATATTTGATACTCGATACCCTTTTCGATACCACAAGAATAAAAACAAAGACTAAAATTCAACAGAAATATTTTTATTACTAAAAAAATACAAGAAATAAATAAAAAAACAATAAGAACTAGAAAATTTCTAAAGAAATTTTGAGGGGGGCCACCTACTGCCCGTCTGGGTAACTGGGCCAATACGGCCCTGGCAAGTGACATTGGGGCTCCCCAGACCAACTGCTTACGCCTTTGAGGGCTGCTGAGGGAAGGAAAGAGGGCTAGGTCATGGGCAAAGAGAGCTGTGTGCCACTTGTGCTGAAATCTGGGAAATAGACGTGCACAGCATATGATGCACAAGGGTAATATGGGTTGTCCATATTGAACCGCAGTGGGTAAAGCGCAGTTGGCGGGCTCCGCCCGCCTGCTAGGAGCCCTTGAAGCGATGAAAAAAAAAATCACCAATGGCGGGCTCCGCCTGCCTTCTAAGAGCCATTGCAGTGATGAAATCACCATTGGCGGGCTTCGCCCGCCTTCTAAGAGCCATTGCAGTGATGAAATCACCAATGGCGGGCTCCGCCCGCATGCTCAGAGCCATTGCAGTGATGAAATTAAAAATGGCTATGAGCAATATG